TTTTTTTTTTTTTTTTTTTTTTTTTTTATACCAGGGATTGAACCCTGTACCCGGTAGGGGACAGAACCACTGAGCTAAATCTCCAGCATAAGGAAAGTGATCTTAATCACACTTGGAGCCGTGCATGCTGTTCTGAGAAGGAAGCCTTTCGAGATGAGCAGATGTGGGACTGTGTCCACTTCCCTGTGGATGGGTACAGCTCCTGGGCACCCAGGGGAGCCACAGCGCATCTCCAAGGTCACACAGCCCAGCCAAGTTGGTTTCCTCGGGTTACCTGGCTTGATAGGGTTTGCGGGCTTTTCCCCTCTCAGACAGATGCTCTGATAAAAACCCTTGAATGGACGTTGCTATGTCAGTGCCACCACCAGGGCATTTTCAGGACGTGTGCTCTGAGCTCAGTCCCGGAACAGCTCTGACCCCAGGGAGGGGCCAGGCCCAGCCCTGCCCTGCGTAGGGATGAATCTCCTGGTGGTCACATTGGCCCTGCTTAGAGCTTAGGATCTAGGACGAGAGCGAAGTCTGTCTCTGTGGAGGTCCGCGTGCTCGGACACTTGTGACCCTGAAACTCCCTGAGGGGACAGGCTTCCCTCACCCCTCTGCCCACCTGTGCAGCTTTTCTGTGTTCGCTTTCACATCTGGCTCAGTTATTTCCAGGCCAACAGCAGGGAGAATAAGGACTCCAGCCCAGACACCCCTTCTTTTTCTTTTGGAAGCTGAATGCATTTCAGACAGTGAAGAAATATGCCTTTTCCATTTTCTCACTGCCTGAACATCTCTGCCTGATGCTCCTGGGGAATGAATTTGGGGGCTTTAGAAAGAAAATTACCAGACTGGCTCAGTGCAGTGATGATGGGAAGGCTTTATATATAACTCGTAAATTAAATGTGAATGAGAACAGTTCATTAAAACTGGCATTACAGAAGTGGCCTGCTGAGGTTTGAAAACAGGCAAGCTGCTGGTGTGTCAGTCCTCTTCCTGAGCGAGCGCTTCATTTCTCCAGGAAATCATCAAAGGGAGCAGTGATGGAAGACTGCGTGCGATAAGGAGGAGAGGCTGGCTTGGCAGGCTGTGAGGAGCTGTGTGGCAGTACTCGGCTTCCTGCCCCCGTCTGCGAATCCCATTAGCTGCACATTTAGCACACAAGGCTCAGCTGTCAAGAAAGTTATTTGAGCACCCAAGGTCACCCACCTCTGTGCCAGGGGCCCCACCTGGGGGGCTTGTGGCCCTGTGTGGCCACACTCGAAGATAGAGGTTTCATTTAGCTTATTCCCATGACAGAGGTATTTTGAAAAATGTAAAAGATGAGCACACATACATAGCCGTGTATTACAGCTAAAAGTGAGACCAGTGGAGGTGGACGAGAAGTTGTCTCAAATATAATTACTTGAGGTTTGTTTTTTTTTTTCCTTAATGGAATTAATTCATTAGAAAATGTCTGCATCAAATCCGTAGAAAGGAAGAAAAAGCTAGCAACAAAAATACAGCTATTATCCAACTTGCCATAAATACTTGCAATTATGATTCCTTGGAATGTTGCCACTATAGGGATTGCTCTGATTAAAAGACGACAGCTGAATAAAAGAGTGCTGTGGGAGCATCATTTCTGTTGCTAGATAAATGCTGATGTTTATTTTTAAACCAGGAAACATTGATCCTGTAACAATGCCCTATTACAGTTGCTTTATTACACCACAGGGCTGATGTGGATTTAATCATTGGGCTAATGGATGCTCGCTCTCTGTGCTGCTCTCCCGTTTGCATTCCGATGAGCCTCAGGAGCTCAGCCGGGCCTCCGCACAGAAGCCGCGGCCAGAGCAGCGTTTCCCTGATGCCCAGAGCCAGATCTGGCTGAAACAAAATGGGTTCCCGGTACTTTTTGTTTCGGTTGAGAAGACACCACCGAAGGGAGACAAACCAAATCTTTTAACACAGTCTCATCAAGGCTTCGTGCTAACAAGAAGGCAGAGCTTTTTATGACTTAAGAAGATGATATGTTAGTGTGTATCTCATGTGTTGACCGGTTTTCCTTGTAATACTGAGACCTGGTTGTTTTTGTGAATGGCTACCTTCATTCCTGTCTATCTTTTGTTTTTCAAATGTAAACTAAATTCGGCTGTTAACCTAGTGCAGCATTCATTAAATTTTTTTCCATTGAATCTTTTACATGGATTCAACAGTCAGAATTTATTGTCTATAATACTGAGACCATGTATACAAGAACTGCTTTTTGCTTTTCATGACTCACGTATTAGCGTTTAATAAGTACCTCCTATATGTTAAATACTGTATGAGGCGCTGAGAAATTAATCAATGGAAGTGACTTTGGCTTTTTTTTTCTTTTTCTTTTTTTCATTTGTAAGCAGCCTGAGTTTAGTGATTCAAGCTTACATGGAGAAAAAAATGCAAAATGCATTACTGTAATCCTTTCCTCCCTCCATCCCTCCCTCCCTTTCTTCCGTGACAATTTATATAAACTGGTGCCATTTGGAACTTACTATAAGAAAGTCAAGGCGATCTATTTAAATAATCCCTTCACTGAAAGAAGTTTCACTAATGCATGCAATTCCTACCCTGCTTTCCATCTTTCTCCCTGTCTTGCAAAAATACCTGCATTTTGTGATGTGTGTTTATTGTGACTTCAACGTATGTTAACACTTTAGGAATTGAGTATTCCTAGATGGCTGAGAATGCTTTCATTTTCACGTTTCCTTTATGTATTTTAAGTCGTATTTCCCTTTTTGACACAGAACTCATTTAAAAAGCTGGTTCAGGAAAAG